CGCTGGAACTGGGGGCACGCAGATGCGACTGGGGGACTGGGAGGGCGGCCGCGCACGCGGGAGGAGGCCTCAAGTGCTGAGAATCCTCGCCACGCAGGCGGCCTCAGGCACAGGAAACCCTTGCACTGGAAGGCGTGCAACCGGTGCGAGCTGCCGAGACGGGGGGGGCACGGTCGATATCACCCGAGAGGCAAGCCGTCATTCGCCAGGCGGCAGGCAGGATGCCAAGACGTTCCAAGACGGTCCCGAATCGCGGAACGATTGGCCCAAGACGCCTACGATGGCTCCAAGACGCCTTTGAGACGCCCCAAGAGCCTTCCCCAAGGACCCCGAAAAGGAAAGATCAATGCTGCTTCCTGCATTTTTCCATTGTTTCTGGGGTTATGGTATTCTCGAGCTTCCGACGCTCCAACACGGCCCAAGAGGCCCCATAGACCGCCCCCAACCTGCCCAAGAGGCCCCTCCGAGGGCCCAAGGACGGCCCAAGAGGGTTCCAAGACGGCTTAAAGAGGAGCTCAAGACGGCCAAAGACCGTCCCAAGAGGGCCCCAAAGGGAAGAGAAGAGGAAGAACACGAAGCGAAACTCCGATCTCTCCGCTCCAAGAGGCCCCCCGAAGGCACCAAGCCCCCAAACGGCCCAAAAGAGGCATTCAATAAGCCCCCGGAGGCCCAAAAGAGGCCCCAAGGCGGCCCGGCGGGCGGACCCCAATGGGCAGGTCGGGTCGGGCGGGCGGGACATTAAAGTATGGTGCATCATCGCGTTGGCACGCAAATATTTTAACGGGCGGGTCGGGAAGGGCGGGCAAGACGTTCAGGTATGACCCACCATCGTGTTGGCACGCAAATGCCCACACGGGCGGGTCAGATCGGGCGGGCGGCCCCTATCTAACGGGAGCGCCGGGTCAAGCAGGCGGGACATTAAAGTATGATGCATCATCTCGTCGGCACGCGAGATCCCTCACGTGCGGGTCGGATCGGGCGGGCGGGCGAATCCTAGCGGGCGGGTCAAGACGGGCGGGCGGACTAGAAACATGTAATAAATGTTCGCGGTGGCACGCAAATGCCGTAACGGGCGGATGCGGTCAGGCGGGCGGGCCCTGGCGGGCGGGTCGGGTCTGGAGGGCGCGACATCAAAAAATGCATCATCGAGTTGGCACACAAATATCCGAACGGGCGGGTTGGGTCGGGCGGGCGGGACGTCAAAGTCTGACGATTTATCACGCTGGGTCGCAAACATCCTGACGGGCGGGTCGGATCGAGCCATTCCTCTGATATGTCGCCAGATGCACGCCGTCTTTGCAGGTCGGTGTTCGCACGTTTCCCCGCGGAAACACACTCTGAACGCATGCATCCATCAACATCAAAGTGCCACGTCCTCTTCCTCCTTCTTTGTTGGGGAGGGAGGGAAGAAGGGTTCGACGATCGAGGTTCGAGGTGGGCTTTCGGCACTTTCGGTGTCTGTGAGCCGCTGCGAGGCCCCAGGACCGTCGGACGTCGATCCGGGATGCAAATCTGCACCAAATGGACCACGGGAGCGGCCTCCAAGAAGCCAAGCGGCCACCATTTTCGCCCCAGTACGGCCCAGGCACCTCGCAACACACACCAGCTCGACGCACACGGGCCACAACCCCTGGTACACTACGACAAGACTCAATCACCCAGTTCCACTCACTCAGCTCCTCAACGCGAGTCCACCCCCACAAACTCATTCCGACACCGCGCGCCCATCTCCCCCCCCCTCGATCAAAGGGGGGGCAATTGTTGTCCCTCTCGGGGTAACCACCACGCGCCGATGGCGCTCCAACCCCTGTCGCGGCGCGCAGACGATGCACGCTGCAAGAGCACCTCCAGAAATGCACCCGAGCCCAGACCAACTCAGAGATCGAACCCAGACGCCCGAACGCGCCTGACGACAACCCAGGGGCCCCCAAAACGGCCCGCGAGAAACTCAAAGAAGGCTTCGAAAGTCGGAGTTCTATCAATTCACCATGGCTTCTGCAAAAAATCTACGCGCAGGAGGCCCCGCGACGCCTCCACGCCGGCCCCAGAGGATCAGAAAAAAACAAAAGAAAGGCTGGGGTCGGCGGCAGAGGCGGCAGCCTTAATGTCAAAGATGTGGTTAAACTGTGTAAACCATGTTCTAAGCATGTTTCAAGCATGTTCTTAACACATTTGAAACAAATGTGAAACATCTGTTAGACACCTGGAAATTATTTGGCAGCATGCTTCCTCTCCATTAACCGACTTCCACAACGTTAGAGACATACGATCAGAAATCCTGCCAGAGGAAATGCTTGGGCACATGAGATGTCGAGGTGTGGGGGTCCTACGGAACCCCAAGGCTTCAGGGGGCTCCCAGGGCCATCGGGGGATAAACATCTTCCGCGGGGCACCAGCTGGCGAGACGACCTCTTATGCCATGTGACCGCTGTGGGAGTGTAGTGCGGGGATGGTGCATCCTTGATGGAGATGGCGGTATTGCAGATGATACAGATGGCAATGAGGATGATAGCGATGGCGACGGAGATGGTGCTGAAAGTGCAGATGAGCCGGGACATGCAGATCTAGAGCCGTCACTGTGCCCCTCTGGTTTCTTGCACCTCTGCGTCCGTGGGAGATCTGCCGCACCCGTACTGCATTCGTGTCACGACGAGATCTCGTCCAGCCGCGCCACCATCCTGTAACCTCCGTGCCAGTCGTAATACGAAGGGTACCTCTTCGCCTCGACCTTGAAGCCCAGATGCCTGTACAGCTCGAAAGCGGGCAAGTTCATCGCTCGCACGTCCAACGACATCTCCTCGTACCCCTGCTGCCTCAGGCGACCGGCCATGCCGACCACCAGGCTCTTGGCGACGCCGCAGCCGTGGAACCTGGGGTCGACCGAGAGGTCGTCGGCGTAGGACCCCTGCATGGCCAGATACCCCGCCAGAGAGCCGTCGGAGCAGAGGCAGTTCAGCACCTCTGAAGGGGCCCTGGGACACACAAATTAAATACACACAAATAACCATATTCCCAATCTTTTCTTATATGTTCTTGCTTTTTTTTCGTCTTCCCCCCCACTCCCCATATTTTCCTATATTTTCCTGGGGATCGACGATGAATTGTGTCTGTGTTTTTTTTTCCCTCCTGAACCTCGGGGGGACAGGCAGGAACCGATGCGGCTACTTCACGGACCTCTCCTGGGGTGCGTTCTGGCCAAGACTTCGAGGAGATAGTCCGGCCGTGGCGACGCGAGCTCGCCAAGACGAACAGCGGCGTCGGCATCTCGTCGTCCCCCGGCAGCTCTCGGGTGTTCGATTGTGGACCCCTCGCCACAGGCAGGCATCCAACTTTTTCACTCCCACGGCCGCCGAAGGCCGCGGGAGAAAAACCGCCGAAGACCGGGAGGAACCGCCAGAAGACCCTTGGGAAACGGCCGAAGACCGCCGGAAACGGGAGGAAGAGGCCGCCGAAGACCGCCCGAGGCAGCTGGGCAGCCAGGGGCCCATGGCCGATTGGAGCCTGATTTGTTAACATTCTGGCAAGCTTACTTGCACGGACGGCGGGGGGGGGGCTGAGCCTGAAGCAAGCCGCCAACGACTCGACGTGCGGAAACCACGCGAGTCGTCGAAAGGCACCGCACGCTCGTGTTCGACTGGATGGGGGGCGCGCGGGGGGGGGGGGGGAGGGGGCGAGCGCCATGCGAGCAAACCTGCCGGAAGATCGGAAAAAAAACAAGAGGGGCTCTTATATCGCAGCGCCTCGTCCCCGGGGCGGGCGGAGCAGGCCGGCGCGTAGGGGTACGCCCCGCGCCGTATCGCCGCGTGCCGCGCGTCGAACACGCCGCCCTCCAGCCGGAGCTCCAGCGGCGGCGCGCCGTCCGCGGCCCGCCCGCGCCGCAGCTCCGCGTGCTGCGCCGCCTCCCCGAGGACGCGCCGCAGGGACTCGTCCAGGGGCTGGGCCGCGCCGTAGACCCCCGCGAAGAGCAGCCTCCCGAGGGTTGCGGCAGGGAGGGCGCGAGCCTGCAGCCGACCCGCCGCCACAAGGAGCCCCAGAAAGAAAGGGGCGAGGCCCGTGCTTGTTTTTTGTGCTTTCCCTTTTTTTTTCTCCCATGGGTTAGACTTCGATCTCCCATGGAGGCCCGAATGGAAAGCTGAGACAACCCCAGACCCCCGACGTCGCGATTTTGCTCACAGCGTCGACCCCCAGAGGTCTGGACCCCTCCCGGGGACCATTCTGTCACCCTGAATAATTTATTGACGCTCCCAATGCCCTCTGGAGGCCGAAAATGGCGAGAAACCTTCCGTTTAGATTTTTTCGCAACGCGAGGGGGTCTGGGAACTGAAACACAATCAAGGAACGTAGGCCACTCCCCAAGGAAAAGGGCTCCTTCTTGCTTTCGACTGCCCCCGCGCGGACTTCTGCGATCGGTGCTGAGCCTCGCCACCCTCCCTGGCGCGCGGCGCGCGCCTGGGGGGTGGCGCTGGCGGCGCCGCCAGGGGGAGGGGCCCCAGCGCTGGTCCCAAACATCCGCGCGGACCGTCGAAAGAACTCCGGCGCGTGCTCCCCCTTCCCGCTTCCCCCCCACCCCGTCCCCCCTCCCCCGCGCGTGTCGTTCGTCGGTCGTCCGCTGTTTTTTCGTCGTCGTGCCGTAGCGCCCCCCTGCACTCTGCCACTGGGCTCCCCTTCGCTGCCAAAGCAAGCGTGCTTCTGCAGTTCTTCGCCCTTCGAGCCTCTGCTCCACCAGGCGCCTCAGCTTCGCCGCGCCCGCGCCCTCGCCCTCTGCGGCATCGCGCGGAGGGCCGACCGAGGCAGCGGCCGCTGCGGCGCTCAACGCCCGCCTAAATCCGCTCGAGACTGGAAGCTGGGCCCCGCCCGGGGTCCCTCCTGGACCCGTTCTGCCAAGCCTCCCGAAGGGCCACGAGAGACGGGCAAGACTGCCAGGGGATGCCGTCGTTGCCTCGGCTGGCCCTCCGCGGCCTCGCCCAGCGCCGCGTCTATCTCTGCCGCGTGCTGCCGGATGCAGAGGAACAACACACGACATAAAGATGGACTTTCGGAGGACCGCGCGGATTTCCTGGATCTGCGCTGAACCGACCTCCCTTGCACGCGGAGCGCGCCAGGGGCGGCGCTGGAGGCACCGCCAGGTGGTACGAGCGAAGACTCACGAAACCCTCGCGGAGCTCCGCCGAGATGATGTTTATGCGGATGTTTCTTCCTCGATGTGCGCGCGAACGGAAGCCGCCGCCCTGGCCTGCCCGAGGTGGCGCCTCCAGTCCCGCAGGCGCGCCTCCGTGGCGCAGCCCGCCTCGCGCATGGCCGCGAGCAGCTCGGCAAAGGCCTCCAGGTCCTCCGGCGGCACGCCGAGCTTCGCGGCCACCTCCTCTCGGGGACTGACAGACACCCCTCCAACAGAACGCCCTCGAGTGAGAGCTGCCGCGAGCACCCCACGGCTGCGCGGCGTCGCGTTCCGATGGGCGCCAGGCCGGAAGACCTGAGCGACGTCCACAGGAGCAAGTGGGAAATATCAGGCAGAACGCACGCCGACGTTCGAAGCCGAGTGCCAATGTGTCGAGTGAACCGTGCAGATCTCCTGAACCGACTCGTCTGGGCGGGCGCCCTCTCTCGATGCCCGAGCCTGTCGGCGTCACGCAAGAGTGGGTACCAGGCTTCGGGTTGCGCGCAAACAGGCCCCTCCAGGTAGGTAGTGCCAGCTGGCTTCAACAGGCGCTTCGAGTAGTCCCAACTGGCGTCAACAGGCCATCCGCGCAATCCGCGGGGCGGTCTCGAGTCCCTGTCGCCGCCTCCGGCGGCGCCACTGGGGCGCTCCGCGCCAGAAGGTCGGGGCGTTCAGACCACCCTGGGCTGCTCGGGGGGCCTGCTCGAGGCCAGCCGTGACTACTCGGTGGGCCTGTCGAGGCCAGCCTGGGACTACCCTACCCAGGGGAGCGGCCTGTGCGAACCCGCAGAAGACCCTGTTAGCCGTCCTTTTCAGAGCCGCCGTACGCTCGACGAGTGAGGAGGACGAGGAGGACGAGGAGGACGAGGAGGAGGAGGAGGAGGAGGAGGAGGAGGAGGAGGAGGAGGAGGAGGAGGGAGGCCCAACTCCGAGCGCGCAGGCCAGTGGCGGGAAGCCCTCGCGCGCGCCCGCCCGCGCCGCGGGTCGCCCTTTTGCACGACGTCCCGCTGGCACGCGGCCGGTCCTCGGCTCCTCCTTCTCACTCCTCCTCCTCCTCCTCCTCCTCCTCCTCCTCCTCCTCCTCCTCCTCCTCCTCCTCCGTTGGCACGCGGCCGGTCCTCGGGCCCCCCCTCCGCGGATCCGCGCTCTGCCGGACTGCCCATTGCGATGCCCTCGCCAGGCGGAGCTTCACTCGTGGTCGGAGGGCACATCCGAGGCACCCACACCGAGCCTGGCCAGGCTCCTCCTGGGCCCAGGGTCGGTGGCATATACGCCGCTCTAGCCTGGGCAGGGAGGCGTGGACTCCCCGGTTCTGGGCCCAGGATCGCCTGGGCCGAGATCGGGGCAGGTGCATGGGGTGATACCCTGCGATCGCGGGAGGGCACCGAGGCTGACGCTCGGGCGCGGTGGTTGGCATGAACCGAAACGGCAGTGGGCGATCGTGAAGAGGAGGGTGGCTGCGATTGGGGTTTGCTGTGCACTCCGCCCCGTCCCAGGCAAAGTGGGCCTCTCCCTTTGGGTCCCCACTCCGGCCTGAAGAGCAAGTTCCGTCACGCAAGAATGCGGCAAGTAATGTACTCCATGCCTCTCGAAGACGTTTTATGGTTCGCGACGGTGACGCCCGTCAAGGACGGGGGCCAACGCTACCTCCGAGGTGCTCGTTCCGATACACCCCTTCCCCCAGGCGACCAGCAGCCAACCAGGAACAATGATAACCCCATGAGGGCCACCCCCCCACCATCCCTGTCAAAAAAACAGTACACAATGCATTTTGGGGCAAAGTCCAGGGTCATGTTCGTGAGGACAACGAGCATTTGTTTAGTGTTTTCTATGTTGACAGGGACGGCGGGGGTGTCAGCATATTGCCTGCTGCGCGCTAGGCTATCATACCTGACAAAGAAAACAATACACAATGCACCTGGCGGCTAAATCTGGATCATGCGTGGCCACTCCGCGATCACTGTCAAGTGGTGGCGTATTGCCTGTTGTGCGCAGGCCCACCAGACACTATGATGGGCACTGGTCTTCGACATGGAGTGGGGGCCGACATGTTTCCCGATGTGTGCTGCCACGTGCGCAGGCGCACCTAACACACTCTGCACGTGACCCGAACGTGGCGCACCTGGCGCGGCTGGAGTATGCGGCACACATGGAGCACGCAGAGGCACGTGGCGCATCTAGCGCACCAGGCGTGTCTGGCACGCTCGTGCCTCAGGAGTGCCTGGCGCGCGTGGCGCGCCGGCCACGCGTGGCGCACCTCGCCCCAGCGTCGCACACATGGGCTCGGTTTTTGCTCCCAGGAAGTGGCTGTCCACCCAAAGACGACCGCTGAACATGCAGAGGCTCGGGTGTTACTTATGTGTCGGAAAGGGGTGTGGGAGTGAGCTAGACAGCTTGCTATCTAGGAGAGTGTTTTGATCACTGTTGGCTGGCGGCCAACCCGGAACCATGCCGACTCCATCCGGCCGGCGGCCATCTCAGAATCATTGCTAAACAGTTTGGAAATTTTGGAACATCTGGATTCCTGGATGCTTATCAATGTTCTGGAGTGTGTGGAATGCATGGAATCCCTAGGGTTTCTGGAATGGCAAGAGCTCCGAGGACTGCAGGGGGCGCAGGAGTCACCATACTTTCAAGAACTGCACAAACTATATAACACAAGCCCAAGAAGCAATTTAAACCAATAACACTAGAAACAACAAGACAACTATTCCCCCGAAATCCCGCAGCGTACAAGAGCGAGAGCGGACATGCGATGCTCGAATGGGCATCGCTGTGCCAATGCGCGCAAGGAGGCTTACATACAGTGGCACGGAAGGCCTGCCAGCGCGTCAGCGCGCAACCACGCACGCAGCAGCCTCTACGAGCACTGCGTGTACAAGAATATATATATATATGATATCTACGATATCTATATGCATATATATGTACACAAGAATTGAAGGCTCGCTTCGCTTCGCTTCAATCTTGGTCCACATGAGCAAGAGGGGGGGCGAGTCAGCGAGTGAGGCGCGAGTGGCGCCCGCGAGTGAGAGAGAGAGAGAAGGAGAGAGAGAGAGAGAGAAAATAAAAAAAGAGGGAATGGACATGATAACGATTTTCTCGGTTTGTCCCTGTCCCGTCCAAACTCCCACGAGACAGGTGCGTCGCCTACCGGCCGCGACACGGACAGACGAGCGCGATGGATGGATCCCGTTTCTTTCTTTTCTTTTTCCTCCTTCAACTCTCCGTATTTTCCTCATTGTTTTCGTCGTCCCTCACCTTGGGTCCTCGCTTTCTCTGTGTCCTCCTCCTCCTCCTCCTTTCCTCCCCCTGATGTTCCCCGCCTTCCTCCGCCTCCCCCTCCTCCACCTCCTCGTTTTGTTCCGGCTCTGAAGCCATTGGGACACGGCCGCGACACGCACAGACGAGGGGCGGCGGGTCCTGAGAAAATGAGAGAGAGAGAGAGAGGCGAGGTGGGGGGGGAGGTGGATGGAGAGAGAGAGAGAGAGAGAGAGAGCGGGAGAGAGGGAGAGAGAGACAGACAGACAGACTGACAAACAGACTGACAGACTGACAGACAGACAGACAGACAGGCAGAGAAGGAGGGGGAAGAGAGAGAGAGAGGGAGAAAGAGCGAGACAGAGAGGAGGGGACCAGAGAGACGTGGGCAGTGGGGGGCCTCGGTCACCGCCGCAAGCCTCACGTCATGAGTCGCGCGCAACGCTTGGGGGCCTCTTAGAAATCCCTGCGGCCCCCGTGCGGCTCCCTTGAAAGCCTTTTGGGATGTCATCAGGTCTCCTGGGAGCCTCTGGGGATGTTTTGAGACTCTCTTGGGGCCTCGTGGGTGTTGCGGGCGTGCGTGGCCCCCAAAGGAGAACCTACCAAAATCCTCCAAAAACTAACAGGGACCCTCGGTTGTGTGCCTCCAACGGACCTGCTGGGAGTCCTCTTAGGGGGTCTCTTGGAGCGTCTTGGAGGCGTCAGGAGCCATGTATGCACTGGGCCCGGTGCTGAAAAGGTCGGCTGGGCTTTCCGCGAACCCATAGAATGTAATGGTTTGGGAGCCTCTGGGTGGCCGCTTGGGCGGTCACGGCGGGCCTCTCGGGGGCCTCGTGGGGCCTCTTTGGGCCCTCTTCAGGGCCTCCGGGAGGTCCCTTAGGACAGCTTGGGGCCCCCTGGGGGCGGAGGGGCCGAAAGGTCGGATCGGATCCCCCGTCTGGATCTCTTGTTGGAGCCTTCTGGGGGGCCTCTTGGTCTGTCTTAGAGACCTCATGGGCTGCCTCGGGGCCCTCTTAGGCCGTCTTGGGGCCGTCTTGGGGGCCTCTTGGGCCGTCTTGGGGCTATCTTGAAGGACGCCGTTGGCCGTCTTGGAGCGTCGGGGAGGCGAAAAAGCGAGAACCCGAAAAACCTTCAAAAACCATCGAACAAATAATGGATTTTGCCTCTTGGGGCCCTCATGGGAAACCTCTTGGAGGCCTCTTGGGGCGTCCTGGAAGCCTCTTGGGCCGTCTTGGGACGAATTGGGGCATCTTGGAGCGATCTTTGGGCGTCTCGGCGCTCGTTTTGGAGCCCTTTTGGGCTGTCGTGGGACCTCCTCGGGCGGCAAAAGACGCCAACATGGCCTCTGCATGGGGGGGGGGCCCGGCGAAGAAACCGCGAACATGGCCCCCAGAGGTGGTTCCCGGGCAGAGAAAAATAAATCCCCCCCAGAACCCCCCCCATCCTAGGGGGGGGTCCTTTATATTTTGTATTGGATGAGGAATATACGCAAACGCATGTGTGTAATGCGGTCGGGGCGCTTATAAGAACAATCCAAAACACCGTCGAACTCCATCGCCTTAACGGGGCCCGCTCTGCCTGTGATGGCACCACCGTGCTTTGCAGCACCGCGGACCTAGTAAACACCACTTCACCTGTCATCACCACAGCGCTCGTGAACAAAACTTGTGTGCCTGTGGGCACGCTCGTGGCTTCCCTCCCAACCTCCCTGCAGTCCGCGCTGCACTCCTCGGCATACCTGACCCGCACCCTTGCGCATCCTGCTGCTACATCTTCCTTACTTTCTGCGTCCTCCTCCTCCTCCTCTTCCGTATCGCCCTCCCGCCAAGATGAGAAAAGCCATCGTGTGATGCTGTTGCTTGATTCGTAGGGGCTTGAAGCAATGCAGAGTGCAATTCTCGGTTTGTCTTGCTGGTGACAAGGAAGTGTCGTGCAGCAATCGTGCGCTGATACGACCACGCACAACATGTCAAGAAACACTGGAGTCTATGCGCAAGCCATTCCCCGCATGAGTTTTCTAGACAGCGGCCGATGCACACACCAGTTTGCAAGCAAACGTTTTGTAGCGGATTCCACCCGCAAACAAATGCAAACACACTGCCCAAATTAACCCACGATGCTTCACGTTGCCGTCCACCCCCTCCTCTCGATCCCCATCCTCCCATCTCGGTTCCTCGTCGTCTTCCCTTCGCCTACTCCTCCCTATATCCATTCCCCCTCCCTTCTGGCCCTCCTCGTACTCCCTCCCCCTTCCCCGCCTCCTCCACCTGTTCCTCTTCATCCTCCCCTCCTCCTTCCTCTCCTGCCCCTCCGCCTCTCCCTGGAGGAGCAACATGAAGAGGAGGGTTGAGGGGCCCTGATCCTCACGGGGCTGTGAGGAAGAGGTGGACAAGGAGGAGGACGACGAGGACCAGGGGGTGAAACCCGCAGCCCCTGGAGAGTCCCTGGCGAGGCAGCGCTGGAGGAGCAAAAACAATATGAATGTGAGTACGTAACACCCCGCAATTGCGGATAAGAGTGAGGGGGCGGGCGCGGGCGACGCGGGCGTCGTCAAGCCGGCGGACCTCGTGGCCCCCACCTTCCCTGTCGATGGCGCTCTCCTCCTCCTCCTCCTCCTCCTCCTCCGCCTCCTCCGCCTCCTCCTCCTCCTCCTCCTCCTCCTCCTCTTCCTCGTCCTCGTCCTCGTCCTCATCGTCATCGTCGTCCTCCTCCTCCACCTCGTCCTCCTCCTCCTCCTCCTCTTCTTCCTCGTCCTCCCTCTCCCCCCCTCGTCCTTCCATCATCGTCCTCCCATTGTCGTCATGTTCCTCCTCGTCGTCCTCCTCCTCTTCCCCCCCTCCCGATCCTCCCCCTCCTCCTTTTCGTCGTCGTCGTCGTCGACGTCATCGTCGTCGTCCCCTTCCTCCTCCTCCTCCTCCCCCCTCTCCCTCCTCCTCCTCCTCCTCCTCCTCCTCCTCCTCCTCCCTCCTCCTCGTCCTCCTGCAAAAGCAGGCCGCCGCAGGCGCCGAAAAAACTGGTTCGTACACTGAACGTGGTTTGGGTCTCGGGTGGGCCGCGGGTTCTCCACTGGGAACGAATGCAAAAGATGCCCGCCGCAGGCGCAGAAACATTTGGTTTGTACCCTGAACGTGGTCGCGGGTGGGTCGCGGGGTGGGTCGCGGGTGGGTCGCGGGTGGGTCGCGGGTGGGTCGCGGGTGAGTCGCGGGGTGGGCCGCGGGGCGGGTCGCGGGGTGGTCGCGGGGGGGTCGCGGGTGGGTCGCGGGGTGGGTCGCGGGGTGGGTCGTGGGGTGGGTCGCGGGTGGGTCGCGGGTGGGTCGCGGGTGGGTCGGGTGGGTCGCGGGGTGGGTCGCGGGGTGGGTCGCGGGTGGGTCGCGGGTGGGTCGCGGGTGGGTCGCGGGTGGGTCGCGGGGTGGGTCGCGGGTGGGTCGCGGGGCGGGTTGCGGGTGGGACGACGACAACAAACAACAACAACAACAACAACACCACCAACAACAACAACAACAACAACAACAACAACAACAACACACAGCAGCAGCAGCAACAACAACAACAACAACAACAACAACAACAACACCAACAACAACAGCAGCAGCAGCAACAACAACAGCAACACCACCAACAACAACAACACCAACAACAACAACAACAGCAGCAGCAGCAACAACAACAACAACACTAACAACACCACCAACAACAACATCAACAACACCATCAACAACAACAGCAGCAACAACAACAACAACAACAGCAATAACAGCAACACCAACAACAACACACAACAACAACAACAACTACAACAAACAACAAACAACACACACCAGACAACAGACAACAGACAACAGGCACAACAACAACAACAACACCAACACCACCAACAACAACAACAGCAACAACAACAACAACAGCAACATCAACAGCAACAGCAACAGCAACAACAACACGAATCCGCACCGCGGAATCCCACCTCAGCCACGCACCCAGGGACAGTGAATGACCGTTCGGCCCCCTCACTCTGACGTTTTCCAGCGAGACATGGCCAGGTGGATCGCCAAGACGCCAAACTCGAGACGCAACACGCCTGGAAGCCGGGACCTGCGCGCACAAACAGACCGACAGCCGAGGGAGGGCATAGATTACCACAGGGTCGGGGGGGTGCCCATTCTCCGTCAGACCTCTCTGCAGATCCGCCATGAGAGACTACGGAGAGGCCAGAGTGCAGGTGGTCGACCTGATGTGGTGATCTGGTGACTGCTCGGAGCCTGCCCAGCTACCGACAGAAATCATCGTGCTCGGTCGGCCGATCGACCACGGTTAACCCACTGAGCGGCCAAGCCCCAGTAGATGACAGGCTAACACAAGTGTGACAAAACAGTCGGCATGACACGCCGCCGTGGTGGAACCCATCAGCGTGTTACTGGTGAAGAGACACACGAGGCTTCCCGACACAAAAAGAACAACGCACTGACGGGATCCAAAGGGCGGCGTGTCATTGACACGGTCGGGATCTTTTGGACAGTTCCGCCGGCTCTGGCCCACCACGCTTCGGCGCGACACGCAGTCCACTGTCTTGCCCCCAAGCGTCCACGTCCCGAGGTTTTCCACCCCGCGGAGCGGAGCGACACGCTATCCACTCGCATGGCGCAGTGTGTCGCTGGGGCCGCCGCCGTAGTTCCCGGCCGTACTCCTGGTCCCCCCACGCAGCGCGAGAAGGGCTGAGCCCCGCGCGCGCGCCGAGTTCTCTGCCAGCCGCTCGTTGGCCATGCGCGCCAGCTGCTCGAAAGCCGCCGGGCCCGCGGCGGAGCCGCCCGAGGCTGTGAGCGGCGGAGTGCTCGGCCACTACCGGGCGGCGTGATGAGCCCGTGGGCGAAAAACACACCAGCATCCGCGGCCTCGCCCTCCGGAGAACAGGGTGGTCCTTATCTCAACGTCTTGGCTGGAAGTTTGAAAAGCGCATGCTGCAGACCAGCAACTGGCAGGACATACTGAGTTGCCACGAGCCGCTTCTGAGAGGCCAAGGCGGAGACAAGGCACCACCATGCACAGGCAGAGAAGGGCCCACTTAGCAGCAGCAGCAGCAGCAGCATCAGCAGACGCGGGGAGGGGACAAACAAGACATCCAGCGACTGGCAGGGAGCGTGGCCACTGGCCACCGCCGATACAGCCCACAGCAAGACGGGGGGGGCAGTCAGGATGCGGCCCCCGAGGAAGGAAATGGGGAGGCACCAGGGGCGAGAAGTCCGAGGCGGGAACTCATGAACTGCCAGGGGATCCGATGACCCTGGGACCCCGTGGGGCGGTGGATGGTGTAGCTATCGGGCCCCTAGTGGGCCCGACAATACATAGTCATGTTGACTGCCTCCCAGGGTCCTGGGATCTCGTTTCCGCAGGCCGTGCACGTTATTAAATCCTGGCCTCGAGCGAGGGAAGCACGGCGGACCGAGGAGGGACGGACGGGGGGCCCAACGAGGGGAGGGCAGCTGCCCTCGCGCGTGTCCTGTCCCGAGCAACCGGGCATCCCTGCTGACCCTCCTCGCCTTGCCCTCGTCGTCGTCCTTAGCATCCGCCTCTTCATGCTCCGCCGCCTCGCTCTCCTCCGGAGCGGCGCTGGGCAAAGCCGCCCGGATACCCGAAGTCCACCAGCAGCCGGCCATCCACCGCCAGCGGGACCTGGGCGTTGGCTGTTGGCTGTTGGCCCACGCTAGCCCCGGCCACCCCGTGAAGCTTTGCTTGCGAAGCGTCCAGGCATCTAGTGCGGGCACTGCGAAGACGTGCAGGGAGAGAGCCGCGCCTGGCCAGCGCGAGGGCGATAAGGCCAGGGACGGAGCAATGAGCGAAGGAGAGGCTAAGGGGGGAGGGGAACGGCGGGGACGGGACTCCACGCGAGAAGGAGGGACGGCGGGACGGGAACGGTAGGGAACAGAGGGGGGCGTGTCGTGACGAACCTGGCGCTCGTTTCTGACACCTTGAACGATCGGCGACGTTTCGATGGCCAGATCGCTCCATACTTAGAGGCCTCCTAGGGTCGGAGTAGTAGATGGGGTCGGAAGATCGCGCCGTACCGGCGATACATCGGCGATGCATCGGCGATGCATCGGCGATGCATCGTCGACCCCATCTCCTCCGACCCCATCCAGGAGGCCTAGAATACTCCGCACTGGCCGATTCTCGACCACTGGCTGCTCTCAACCTGAACCGCCCGCGGCGGGGTCGCCGCCGCGTCGACACGGGCGCGAACCTATACCTCAACGGGCCAGCGAGTTTTCGTCCGCGAAGGCACGCGCCGCCTCCACCGAGGTCCTCCCGGCAACAACGGAGGCGGCGGCCCGCGCCGGCGGGCCGACCTTGCGGCGCCGCAACGCCCAGATCGCCCCCACGGCTCGGCCCGGCCTCACAGGCCGGCCGCCGGCGCGGCGGGCCTGTGCGCCAGGAGCCCGGTGGTGCAGCCACGGCTCCCCGAGCGGGACGCCGACAGGGCGGCCCACCCCCCCCCTGCGAGGGGCTCACCTGGCACCTGGCGGGAGCATGGGGTTGTCCAGGTCGATCTTGCCGCTGCCCCCCGGCCCGCTGCTGGGGAGGTCGTCCAGGTACTTGTTGAACGCCTTCAAGGCTCCGTCGTAGTCCCCCGACTCCGCGACCTTCTTGAAGTCCTTGGCGTCCTTGATCGAGAGCTTGCTCCGCTTGTCGGGCACCATCTCCGCGCGCATCAGCCCACCCCAGATCTCCATGTTCTTGGCCATCTTGGGCAGCGTCCCCTTGACCCACTCCTCCTCGATCCTGCCCGCGGCGACGAGGGACTTGTACCCCTCGGCGATCTTGGCCACGTTGCGCTTGCGGCCAATGTAAGGGGAGCGAAACATGGCAGCAACATACAAGCTCGGAGGTCTGCGCGGCGTTCTCGGATCCGCGCGGACCTCCGAGGTATGATGCTCATACCACTCTCCGCTCCCCGAAATGTTCAGGCTCCCCACGTCTGGCACGCCGTCCAGGCTGGCCTGGGCCGGCAGTGGCCCCGAGGCGCTCGCCACGGCCGCGGCCGCCGCGCCCAGCACCTCCCTGCGGGGCGCGGCGCCGCCCGCGGGGCCGCTGCAGCTGGCAAAGGCCATGCCGCCTCCCAGCGCGCCCGCCAGCGCGAGCAGCGCCCCCGCGAGGTGCGACGCGCCGCGGCGCCGCGGGCCGCGCGAGGCGCCGGCGCGGCCGTGCATCCGAGCCGGGGGACAGGACGTCACGAGGAAAATCCTGGAGGCCTCGCGCAGCAACCTTGAGTCCCGATGCACGTCGGCTCCACGTCGGACGTCCGTGGGGTTCACGTCAGGCCGCGTCGGATTCACGTCGGACTGACGCCAGAGCATCGCCGCGCCGAGCGTCGACCCATAGCTTACGGAGCTGACGCGTGGACTCGATCATACAAAAATGTCGCGCCGCGCGAGGCCTCCAGGATGTCCTCATGAAGGACGGAGGCCGCCCGCACGGGGCGGGAGCTTTGCCGCGTCGGGGGCGCCCAGCGTAGCCCAGCGTACGGTCGGGGACATACGTGCGTCCAAGCTTGGCAGAAGTGCGTCGCTGGTGCACGGAGCCCATCGTCCAAGCTCGCACGTCGTACGCAGGTCCAAGCTTGGCAGAAGGAGTCGTGCAGGAATGGCCAGGGCCTACGTCCGGCCTTTTACGGTCGAGTGCGCTGTCTCCTCCGACGTACAGCGGACGGCGGGCTCGTGTCGTGAATCGTGACGACACTGGCGTTGGTTTCTGACACCAGCAGGATCATTCTCCCATGAACGATCGATCGCCAGATCGTGCCATTCTGGCCGATTCCGGGCCACAGGCCGCGTTCAAACATGAACGCCCGCGGCGGGGTCGCCACCGCGTCGGCACGACACGGACCTGCAGTAGTGTCGGGGACTTTTGCTTGGCGTGTCGTGGCGGCGGCCGTGGCGACACGGTGTGCCCTGCAAGCTGATCGCGTGTCGCTCCGCTCCGCGGGGCGGGATGCAAGGAATGGCTCGTGACGTTAACACCTGGAAGTGGTGACGTGATTAGCCTGTCGCGCCGACGTGCGGTGGGCCAGCACGGACAGCGCAACACAATAAGCCAAACTTGCTGACCGTACCATGGGGCAGACGGGTCTCACTGTAACGCCGATCCGTCGGCGGTGTATCGGCGAAGTCGGCATGAACAAGTCCAGCTCTGGATCGCGCCGGCACTGCCGATGCATCCACGATGCGGCGCGATGCCCCGACCCCATCTGCTGCGGCCCCGCCGGGCGGCCTGAAGCAAAAACAGGAGGGCCCGTCTTGAGCCGAAAATTGCCTGGCCCAAAGGCTTGAGGCAAGAAGGCTACGGAACCAATGCTCCGCAGGCAGAGCCGCACGTCCCGTCGCTGCTGGCCTAACAGGTCTCACCTGGTTTCGCGCTCCGCCCCGCGAGAGGCCCAACGCGCGATGACCTTCGCGCACTGGCGACGCCCCCGTGGAAGGACTCACACTCGATAGCTCTTCCCCCGCGTCGCACACGTTGCACCGAGGCTTCGTTGCCCCCCCCCCTTGCTGACACACCGCGCGCAGGCAGCGCTCCTGGGAACCGGTACAGTCAAACTACTACCACAATGCGTGCTGCATGACAAACGACGTCCCTCTTTGGCTCCCAGAGCCCCATGGGTGCACGAGGAGCGCTGCGGGAACAGCCGTGGCAAGTCTCGAGGAGCGCCGTCCGAACCCGGAACTGTTTCTTCTTTCAGCGCCTGTCGGGGGCGCGCAGACATGGACCGGGGGAGGTGCCCTCCCCGAAAAAATGCGGCCCGTGCCGCCTCGCTCGGCGGCGGAACTCCGCGATCCCCCTCCGGAAACGGGACCCGTCGCCAATCCACGCCCCCTTGATCCGTGCCTGCGATCGCCTGAGTCTTGACCGGCCCCATCCGAATGTTACCTGCTTCGAGCCTGGGGCAGACGCGCGCACGGGCACCGACCATGCGCGGCGACGCGCCAGGCCGCGCAGCATCGCAGGCGCGCGCACGGCTGCGGTCCTCCTCCGCCGCTGTGGAGCGCGCTCGCGGGTCTGACTGCCGCGGGGCAAGCAGCAGACAGGCATGTCCACACCTGCGCCGAGGCGGGACTTGAAGATGCTGCCAATAGTTGCACGGCAACGGGGCAGATTCAGCCTTCCCCCTCTTCCCTCACCCACTCTTCCTCATCTTCCCTGTCCTCCTCCTCCTCCTCCTGCTCCTCCTCCTCCTCCTCCTCTTCTTCCTCCTCCTCCTCCCTCTGTTCCGCGTCTCCCTCCCACGATTCCTCCCCCTCTTCCTCCCCACTTCCCCACCCTCCTCCTCCTCCTCCTCCTCCTCCTCCTCCTCCTCCTCCTCCTCCTCCTCCTCCTCCCTGTGCACCTCTGCTCCCCCCCTTCCTGGGAAGCCGGACACGCGAAGCGGCCTGATCCACACGCGGAGCGAGCGGTGCCCACACGCCTGGACTCGCAAGGCGGGGGCAGGCGTCCCCAGCCAAATGAGAAGGGCAGGGCGCTGGGAAGGCACGTGCTTTCGCCTACGCAGGTCGCGACCGCTCCAGGCACCCCCCCACGAAAGAGGACCGGAAGAATCGAGGAGGGAGGAGGCCACAGAGTTGCGAAGATCACCGAATCCGGATGCCCCCGGATCGGCGGCACTTGCCGGAGGCCATTACAATAAGAAGGGCAGGGCGCTGGGAAGGCATGTGCTGCCACGCGTGTGTGTAGCTCTCGCCTACGCAGATCGCGGCCTCGGGTATCTCCAGCTCCTGGGGCGTGGACCTTGCTCCTTGCTCTGGGGTGCGGGGGAGGGGGCAGCAAGACACTGGCACTAATACTCCGCAGGCTTCGCCTGGAGCGCGCTCTGGCTGCGCTGTAAAATCGTACCAAACAGGGGCAACAAGACCCCGGCAGGACTCCCAGAAAGGCGCAGACGAAGGATGGGGGAAGGGGGGGGGACATCGGTATCGGTGTCTTTGCCTCCTCTGATGCCCTCCTCGTCCTTCTCCTCCACCTCGTCCATCTCCACCTCCTGTGCTCCCCCTCCGCCCTGTCGCCGGGTCCCCGGCCCTGGACCCTCTTGAAGACGACGTGTCACATGGGCCATGCGTGTCAGCACACGGATGCCGAGACTGGCCAACCCTTCGCGGCACGCGCGTAAGCTGGCCGGTGGAGCGTGTGTTGAACGCTGCTGGGCTCCGCCAGCAAGCGCCCACCAAGCTCCTCGGCCTGGCCCGCCTTCACAGGCCGATCATACCGGCGCTCCAAACAGGTACCCCGTTTTGCGAGGCACGGCTCCGCGCGGATGCGGTGCAGCCGCATGGCTACAAGATCGCTGCAATTCGCCGGCCCAACGGGCCAGAGGCGTGCTAAGCTCTCCGGTAACTGCTAAATAATACTTCTACTTCGCGCGCGCGGGGCGGCCCCTGGGGGTCCCCAGACGAAAGTACCCGGGCGATCCCCGGCAGACTCGGGTCAGAGATGGTTTCCTCCTGGGCGCCGCCCCCGTGGCCCTCCAGAGAGCCCCAAGAAGGGCCACGAGGCCGCCAAGAGCCCTCCAAGATGGTTCAAGAGTGCTCCGAGATGCCACACGATCGTTCCAAGACGCCCAAGATGGCCCCCAGACGCCCCAAGAGGCCTCCAAGAGCACTCCCCAGAGGGCCCCAAGAGGCAAAATTCATTACTTTTCCTTAGGTTTTGGACAGATTTTGGCGTGTCCATCTTTTCGGCTTCCCGACGCCCCAAGACGGCCAAAGAGGCCCCCAAGATCGCCCCAAGAGGGCCCAAGAAGCTCCCAAGAAGGCCCCAATGTGGCCCAAGAGGGCTCCAAGACGGCCCCAGAGGCATCCAAGACGGCCCAAGAGGGGCCCAAGAGGGCCCCAAGCGATGCCCCAAAGGGGGAACACCAAACAAAACTTCGAGCCCTCGGCCTTAACAAGCCCCCAGGAGGCCTCAAGAGGCCCCTGAGAGGCCCCCAAAGCCCCCAAGAGGCCCTCAGGAGGCCCCCAAGCGACGCTGAAGAGGCCCCCCAGCGGCCCCAAGAGGCTCAGTCATGCGAAATGGGCCGGCGGAATGAGCGAAGCGATTCAATAAAGAAGACTTGCACCAGCCTCCTCGCTGACCTGGGGCAGAAACCGCGGTTGGTCGCGAACGCTGGCAAATCTGGCGCGCGTTCTGGACCACCAGGGCACACAAGAGACCCTCCGAACAATTACTTCTGTTGCAGACGCAATCAGCGAAAAGTAAATGTTCGGGTCCGTCGGGTCCGTCGGACAGGTCCTGAAAGCACTGTTTCGCACAAGTCCCACACACGTGTGCCACTGTTGGATTGGCCTGCGAAGCTGTCGGGTCATCTTTGGAGCAAGCCCGATAAGCTTTTCGGAAGAAGTCCCACGCAAGGGACCACATCCGCCTTCGCTGGTCACTACTGCCGTTGCGCGAGGGCGGCTTGGGGCTCCCTGACGGACGGCGCCAGCTGCACGGCTGGCCAACACCGTCGCCGACCGCCGGAGACGCCCGACGAGGCACGGCTGGGGCTACCGCAGCAGCGACGGCACCTGCAGCCGCACCGGGGGCGCGCGCCGGCGGA